GGCTCGCGAAACACCTGCTAGTAAGATTATATTCCTTATCTAAAATACTATACCCAAAAGGAGGATAGAATCTTACTCTATATTGGGTACCATAGTATCCCCAAATAAGATACTACTCACCTAGGTTATGCGCCTATACGCCTCCAAGCCTCCCTTTAGGAACCTGTCACTTCTCCAAACTCCAAAGCCTCGGGATCCTAGACTCCTAGAGTTATGAATTCGAAGCCCGAACCCTGCAGCCTCTATCCCAAGCATTTAGGGTTTCAGGCTTAGGGCTTAGGGTCCTCACTCCCAAATCCCGAATCCTGAATCCCAACCCGTTCGCAATAACCCCAAACCCCCTCCAAGCCTGTACCCCTTAATCTACTGGCTGCTAGGAAGGATAACAGGGAGTGGACACATGAATCCCTAGAGTATCCCCCGTATATAATCTCCAATGATATGATAGTTTCGTGTTTCCCATTCTTTCATTCCATGCTCAGCATCAGCAGGCCAAACGCTTAAGCTCCCCATCCCTCTATATTCACGTACAAAACACTCGTTGGCACTGATTCTCCGTTCCCTACTAACAATCAGACAATCCTAGATCCTAAGCCCCAAGCCTAAAACCCTGCACCCTAAACCTTGACACTCCGCCTTAAACCCTTAACCTTTACACCCCAAAGCCTTAAACTTAAAGTCTACACCCCAAATTCTAGGCCCTACCAAAAGCCGGTAGGTAAAGCACCCCCCCCTCTCCCTCCACGGGAAGGCCTCCTCCAACTGCTGGATTTCGGGCATATTCGGCTCCTCAAGTGGCTGTCCCCCAACCTGTATAGGGTTTAGGGGTTTAGGGTTTCGGGTTCAGGGGTTTTAGGGGGTTAGGGGGTTTAGGGGTTTTAGGGGGTTAGGGGGTTTAGGGTTAAGCGAAGCAGGGGATGGTTCCTCAGCGCTGAAGGACCTCTTCAGAGGGGTCTCAAGGGATATACGGGGGCTCGGAGCGCGGAGCGCTGACGCATATGTGTACATATATATATATATAATTATGTACGTATATAATTACATATCTGTATATATACATACATACACACACACATATATATATATATATCCACACTGTGTCTAGGAGTGTGAGATTACGGGTTTAGGATTTAGGGTTTGGAGTTTTTCTCAAACAAGGGCACCCTTCAGGACCCCATGGGGATACACGTAGGAGTCCCCACCTCAAACAAACAATCCCTAAGGGCCCAAGGACCCAAATAATAGGGTTCCCTTTAAAGGGGTTATAGGGGGATATAAAGGGATATAGGGGGACTATACAAGGGTCCAAGGACCCAA